CCACACCCCACATCCACACCCAAACTCACATCCACACCCACACCCACACCCCACATCCACACCCAAACTCACATCCACACCCCACACCCACACCCACACCCACACCCACACCTACCCACACCACACACCCAAATCCACACCCACACCCACACCCACACCCAGACGTGGCATAAAATTATTCAATTCTCACGTGGTGGAAAGGACGTGGGTGTAGATGAAGAGAGTACACAGATACTCATCAACCTTGTCTCACACCCTTAATTATTTTTGAAAAAATTAAACTTAGTACTAAGATTATAAATGACATTCTACCAAAAATATCAATTTACCTATATAATATTCGCTTCCATTATTTAATGATAAAAACAAGTTTCAATAAAATTTCTTATGGATAATGTACTCAACAAATGACACTCAAAAAACTATTTTACGGTTTGCGAATTTTATTACTGTTGACAAATGATCTTCTGTAGGAGTAACGATCTTTGTCCTCTTTCAAAATTGATGTGAATAGATCAACGTCCCTTTTACATCATTACACAAGCAAATTTCGTGATGTATTTTATCGATTTGAGAAAGACATGAGATATCATAATGGCTTGTTTTTCATATTCTCTTAGTCATCAGTGTGTCAACAATATAGAAGCAAGTTTACACCCAACAAATTGTTATCAGAAAAGAAAAAAAAAGAAATTGAATATGTTTGCTGTCTTTTTTCTTTTGATATAACTTACATCACTCACAACACTTTTACGACTCATATCAATTTCTGCTCCTTCTGTCGTATTGAAGGTGTGGAAGAAACATGGGTTTGGAATCATTGTTTAATGAGCTGTTGTTCGATGTATTCGAATTTCTCAGCGTCGTAGATCTTCTTCGCGCCTTTCAATCTCATTAGTCGTTGTAATGACAGCGCTTCAACTTCAGTTGCACATTCGTAGCTTTTCTATCATTTGAATTGATAAGGGACACAGAATGTTCTGTAATGAAAGAAAACAAAGATGACTCTTGCTACTGATAGACGATCTGTGCTGAATGAAAACATCGAAAATGCTACAGGTTCGTTCAAATCTAATCATTATTTGTAGTCACTATCCTTTTTTTGAATTATGTTGCGTTAATTGTATCTACAAGAAAAGATGAAGTCATATTTGAAATTAAACAAAATTGATTAAGAAAGAATTGACAATGTCATGGTGCATGTCCATGCTGTTGAACTTTTTCGTATGATATGGCACCGCTTTATATGAACAAATCAACGCTTCTCCTTTATTACAAAATTCGTTTGTGCTCAAGAAAGTATTGCACGCTTAACTAAAGAGAAACAAGAAAAACAGAAATAACTAATTGAAATTCAAGAACATTTAAAAAATAAGAAATTAATGAATATAGAATTAAGGAACAATGTTGATATTTTAACTAAAGAGAAAGAAGAACAAAAAAAGAGGAAATAAATAGTTTGCGATACAATTTAAATAAGATCTAATCAAATTTGACTAAATTTCAGCAAGACTATGGAGAAGAAAAATTAATATCTTTTATAATCATCATAAAGTGTTAAGATCATTTTATCAAAATGAGAAATAGAATTACATGAAGTTTCTTTCATATCTAATGTGAATATCCCTAGATCGTTCATATCTTAGATATTTTCGTTTGATTCCATACTTGTATAATACAAGTAAAGTGGAGCAGACTAGGAACATCTGTTGTTCAGTCATGATTGTTTTTGATTTGCCACACCATTTCAAAATGCGTGAAAATAAGGGCGACAATATAATACATTGTTTGTCATAATTCGAAGATAGCCTAAACAAGAAAAGAGCGTTCGTCCTTATCATTCAAACTAATGATTTTTCCAGTTGCTCTTTTTATAACTCATTCTTTTTCACAGCTTTCATAGTTACACAATAGCATGAGAAGCATCTTGTGTATTGTTGTATTTTACTCTTGAAGAGCGCAAAAAACCCGTGTAGTTTTATTTTTTACAATTTATTTTTTTTAAATAGGAAATAGCAAATCTGCAAGGTCAGGTTCGTGATTTACTTTTTTCACATTGACAGTGAACAAAAACTGAAGAGTTTGGACATTGGAGAAGACCTTGAAACAAATCAAATAATTATTCGTCCGTTATCAATCAAAGTTAGATGATGAAAACAAAAATAATATTTGTCTTTCATTTCAATGTACTGTTATATTTTTTGTATGCATTTATTCAACAGTTATTTTTGAAAAATAATTTTTCTCCAATAGAATCAATTTTATCGATACTAATTTTAAAAAATTCATTTTTCAAATCAACACATGATTCGATAAATAGATATCTTCTTATTCCAGATATAGATAAACACTCTAATTTCTTCATAGAGATGTATTACATAAACATCGAAATTGATGCAGAATAAATAGAGAAAAATGAAAAAAAATTCTGGCGATACTTTAGTTACTGATTTCAACGTTGGCCGACCCAAATGTACAGAAACTTCACCAAAATTTTCTTCATTACCATCAGGTCATGCAATTAGGAACTTTCAGTGACATAGATTGACTATGTAAAAGCAAAGTTCTGGTCTTTATTTTTTCTAAAGAGAACCAATAATTTTCTATCGAAGAGAAATTGAATTAGGCCATATTTTCAAGAGTAATATATTAAAAGAAAGAAGCAATAAGACAAATGTCAAAAGGATGGTTTGATCGTAAACATATCTAAAATTTATTTAATAGAAACTGCAAAATACTACGCTTGAAATCCAGCTCAATATCTGATACGTGAATAGCTTACATAATATCAACTTTAAACACCTTTACCAATTAGACCTAATAAATGTGAACGAATTTTTAGTGTACTACAATGAATTCGCGCAAAGCTACAAAATAGTCTATCAACAATAGCATTAGAGATAGCTTTAGAATTGAGTATATTTAAGCTAGACTCTATGGATGACAATTTAAGTGATATTGTAAGACATTTTTGTATGCATCTTGAACGAGAAAAAACTTGCAATATCAAAATATATATCAATAAGATTGATGATGAACAGTAGACACAACGTCACATAACTATTAGAAAAAACATTAGTTTTAAAACTATTGATTTAAACAGTTTTGTGTGTAGGAAAACTATATTTGTTTCCATTAATCTGAAATATCTTGATGGCTTTACTAACACACGAAATGGCGACGAAAGAAGAACTGTTCACGATTGACAATGACAGCATTGCAAGTTTCAGTTGACAAATGCTGTTCTGAGAAAAAC